ACCTCGCTAGCTAGTCTCCTGCCTGGGAGTGCCATAAAGGCTCCATTAAGAAGGAGTCCTTGAGCCTGACTCTTAGCTCACAGTAAGCCACTCCGCACAACAAGACTCACCTTGGGCCGACTGCGGTGTCCAATTTATCCCGTCAGTTGGCAACCCTCTATGCTTTTAGTGTCTTGTGATAGCTTCAAATGCATCAGATTGTTTTTAGTGAGGAAAGAAATGCGCTAGCGGTCGACCTCACTCTGTCCCCCACCGCCAGCAACAGGACACTGTCTAGCTGATCGGTCGCCTGAGGTGGGATGGGCGCAGCGCTGTCCATATAATGCGTCATATCAATCCTATGCGTGCCGGGTTTTCGGTAGTGTGCATATATGATCGGTGTTTTGCGCTTTGTAGCTATTTTTCTCGTGCATACTGTGTTCCAGCGGCTTCTGTAGTTATCGACCCGTTGGCCGTAATTATGCGAAAAATTTTACTTCCCGTACACGTTGCTTCATTACCATTGAGATTTTTTGACAGTCCGTTTTAGAGTTTTTTTTGTGAATGCATTTCGGAGACCGGTGGGATAGGCGCCACTCGTAGTAGTGGGTTTCCCTGCTTTTATTCGGTTTTTGTTCTACCCACTTCTTCTCATGCAACATGCGATGCTTTTCTGGTGGATTGTAAGCCAACCTACACTCTGTTCCTTCTGTGGCGTTTGCTCTTCAGGCAGGAGGCTGAGCGACTGGACCAGGAAGCTCGCGGCAAGTTAGAACGCCAGCGTATTGAGGATGAGGCAAAAGCCGAGGAGGCCCGACGTGGTCTGCTGGAACTACAGGTACAATTGGCTGCTTTGGAGAGCACCGGTCAGGCCAAGGCAGAAGCTCAGAGTCGTGTGGATGCTGCTCTTATCAGCACTCAGGCGGAGGTCGAAAAGGCCAGACTGGAAGCTGAAGCGGAGAAGATTAAGGCTGTAAGTTATAATTCAGTATATATAAGGGAGATAAGCAGAGCCTTTGAAAACCCTTTTTACAGATAGATTCTGGCAAAGCATGCATATTTTTTAGACGCGTATGTGTACATTATATTAATCATTGCATGACCAAGTAAGGTATTACCAAGTGTTCTTTCAAATGCGTCAACGCTTCCAGCAAGAACAACTGAAGAAGGTGGTTTGTTCCAGTCTTCACTGACCCAGTGGGAAAAGGAGTTGACCCGCAATTCTAGTTTGGCATGGTGTCTCTTTAGTTTTTATGGACGATTCTGGAGATGTGTCGTTTCTGCCAGTTCCAAAAAATCTGCCATTTGAAGAACACAGTCTA